AATAAAAATTAAACAAACTTTATTTTTTGGCAAACAAAGGGGATTTAATATTAACATTAAAATATGAAAGAAATATTGTGTAATTATTCCTTAAAAAATAAAGTATTAATAATTTTTGTAGTAATTGTAGAATTACGTACATTCTACTGAACAACAGTAATATATTTCAGGCACAATCATTTCTTCAACTTAAACCAAACTTTTATTTTGACGGGTTGCCGTGAATACCTTTACATTTCTGTGTGCATATGATATGACGATAATTTTTATTTAAAAAAAATTACATTTAAAGTTACCTTTTTCTGATAGAACAGGTCTATACCTTGTTCTTTTATTAAAAAAATTAAATAACCTTATGTTATTTATTTTATTTACATGACGGCATGTAATTTCGGTCTCTATGGTCGCGCTCTCTATATCGCGCACAGCGGAGTTCAGCCCCGATACACACACACACACACAAGTGAGCACACTCCCACTAGTATTTGTAAATATTAAGCCGCAAAACGACTATTTAAATATGAATTCTGTGTGTCTATGTGTTAATGAATGGCACAGACGCGCGGTTTTGTTTACTACTCGTACTGAAGCATGCGTGATGCTTGCTGTGATTTTAGGGTCTGCCGTCTCACTAAATGAGGACATAAATACATGAACAACATCTCCAGAACTGCTCTGAGAGTCACTTCATGAAAATTTGATGGTTTCATCTGAGTAAATCTATCCTCATATCATATACACACAGAAATATAAAAGTATTCACGGCAACCCGTCAAAATAAAAGTTTGGTTTAACTTGAAGGCATTGCGGCAGAAATATATTACTATTGTTGAGTAGAATGTACGTAACAGGCTGCTACTACTACTACTAAAATTATTAAAACCTTATTTTTAAGGAATAATCATACAATATTTCTTCAATGTTTTAATTGTAATATTAAATGACCTTTATTTTCCAAAAAATTTAATTTGTTTAATTTCATTACTTAAAAGATAGATTAAACTAATGTTTTATGCCTTAAAAAATGTAAATGCACAACACAGAATTTCTGATCAAACAAATCATGAGGCTATTGTAAGAATAAATGAAACTTGTTTTTATGCTTTCAAATAATGAGACATGCTAAAACAGAATTTGGTAACAATAAAACATAAGGTTGGAAAAAATAAAACATTTCATAGGGCCCTAAACGTAATTTTTGTTAAAATTTTAATAAATTGATGTAAAAAAATTTAAATTTCATGATTTTAATTAATTAGACATGTTTTACAGAGACACAGAGACACTCAGAACATGCAGGATTCATATTTAAATAGTCTTTTTGTTGCTTAATATTTACAGATACTAGTCCGTATCACACTTTGATTTAGGTGTAATGACCTACTTTTGGTTAATTCGCCCAAACTTTGACAAATTCCGTGACGTTCCGTGTTAAACAGTAAATTCCATTTTTATGACTGGAATATATGTGTGTATATGTGTGTGTGTGTGTGTGTGTGTGTGTGTGCAATGCAATGCAAAACGCATCTTAATGGTCTTATTGCAAAATATATTTTCTTTCTTTCTTTAATTTTGGTGTGAAACATGAGCCAGACATTCTTTCATTCGATTCACCCCTACAAGTGCACTATAAAACCTTGTGTTATCCATTGATTCAAACAGAAGATCCAAGATTCACTGAATCACATTTCTGTGGACCAGATTAGTTTAGGTTCAGCATTTCCCTCTAAATGGGTAACTCACAGCCAGTCACTCAATGATCAAATACACTTGTGTCTTAATGAGTCTTTAGGTTACATTAGCATCTAAATGAGGCCGTCCGGCCCTCCCCCGCCGCTGATGGAGGAGGCCTGTCCATGAGGTTAAACAGGAGAGAGCAGTGCTTGACCCAGGCAGGGGAGTGATGACTGACAGGATTAGTCAATGTCTGAGCACACAGGCCTGCCCACCCACTGCTGTACGAAACCCCACGGCACCACTCCAATCCCTGAGGATCTGTGATGTGAAGTGTTCAAACACACTTCATTACATCATTTAAAAAATAAATAAATAAATGGAGAATTCCAGAAAAATTGACTAACTCCAAGTTAATGTCTTGATAAACGTTTTGTTATCACCCTCTGTTAATACACACTACTTTATCAGGTAATTAAAACCATAAAGAATACTATAACCACTATAATATGCAGTTATTGTGCTATATTTTATAATAATATTTTAATGTTTATTTGTTTTTTATGTTAATTAGATTTTTATTATCTTTCTTGTTTACTTACTTAAATTGGAACTTGTTTAAAAAAAAAAAAAGTTAATTCGATTTTGGAAAATTCTATTATTAAATAAAAAGTAAATAAATAATAGTAAATCTCAATATGAATTACATTAATATAAAAAATATAAATATCATTTAAATATATAATAATATAAAAATAATAATAGAGGGAAGTTACATATATTTGATGTGTATACACACACACACACACACACACACACACATATATATATATATATATATATATATATATATACACACACACACACACACACACACACACATATATATATATATATATATATATATATATATACACACACACACACACACACACA